TAGGGCTCATATAGCTCATTGGGCTCATGGGCTCATAGGGGTCATCGGGCTCATAGGGCTCATAGGGCTCATAAAGCTCATAGGGCTCCGAGGCCTCACAGGGCTCATGGGATCTCATGGGGCACCATGAGGCACCATAGTTGTCGTAGGGCTTGTGGGGGCGAGAGGCCTCATATGGCTGATAGGGGTATGGCCTCTCGGGGCTCTCGTGGGGCGCCTTTTGAAGCTCTTTTGGGCTGTGTGGCGGCCCTCCTGGGCCGTCCCGGGACCCTCTTGGGCCGTCCTGGGGGGCTTGGGTCGTCTTTGGGCCCTCTTGGTTCTTCTTGGTGACCTCCTGCGGCCTTCTTGGGGCTCTCTGGTAAGCCTCTTGGTGCTCTTTGGGGCCGTCTTGGGGCTCTCTTGGGTCGTTTTGGCGCTCTTTGGGGCTGTCTTGGGGCTCCCTTGGGGGCTTCTTGGGCCGTCCTGGGGCGATCTTGGGGGCCTCTTGGGCCGTCTTGGACGCGATGAAGGCCAAAGAAGCGGATATGCTAAAAATGCACGTTTTCCAAAAGGGAATGGGACGATTTTGACCTCTTGGGGGTCTTCTTGGGGGGAAGCCTCCTGGCGCGTCTTAAGAGCATCTTGGGCCGTCTTGAAGCCACCTTGAGGCCTCTTTGAGCGCTCATGAGCCGTTCTGGAGCGGTCTTGGGCCGCCTTGGGGCTTTGCGGGACCGTCCGGGGATGGCCGGGAGAAGCTCCCGAAACCGAACATCGGATTTGAAGTCGGTGGGAGCTCCCAAAGCCGAATTGATGTACGGGGGGGTCAGGGGAGGCTTTCCGCTATAAGAATATTCGAAGAGGAATATATATATATATATACACATACATACATACATACATACATACATACATACATACATACATACATACATACATACATACATACATACATACATACATACATACACATATATATATATACATATACATATATACATTTATATACACATACCTACATACCTACCTACCTACCTGTCTACCTGCCTACCTACCTACCTACCTACCTACCTACAGACATACACACATGCACACATACACACATACACACATACGCACATACGCACATACGCACATACACACATACACACATACACACATACACACATACACACATACACACATGCATACATACATACATACATGCATACATACATACATACATTCATTCATTCATTCATACCTGCATACATGTACACACATACATACACATACACACATACACACATACACACATACACACATACACACGTACGCACATACATACATACATACATACCTCCATGCACATATACATACATACATACATACATACATACATACGTACAAACATACATACATACGTACATACGTGCATACATACAAACATACATGCACACATACACACATACATACATACATAAATACATACATACATACATACATACCTTACATACATACATACATACATACATACATAGATACATACATACATACATACACACATACATACATACACACATACATACATACATCCATCCATACATCCATCCATCCATCCATACATACATACATACATACACACAGACAGACAGATATACATACATACATACACACATGCATACATGCATACATGCATGCATGCATGCATGCATGCATACGTACACATACATACATACACACATACATGCACACATACATACATACATACATTCATACATACACATATGCATACATACACACATAAATATATACATACATACATGCATGCATGCATATACACATACATACACACGTCCATACATACATACACACATACATACAGACCGACAGGCAGACAGACATACATGCATGCATGTATGCATGCATACACATATTTGCGCATGTATGTATGTATATATACATATATATATATACACATACCTACAAGTTCAGTCGCCAGCATTCCGCCCCTCATGCCACAACTGCTGAAAACAACAAAACTACGCGCTGAATTCCATCAACCCGTGAAGACGTAGGCGGTTCAGGGGACCCTTTCTTCCAACCCCTGTCTTCCCCTTCGGGGAGGGGTTTACCCTCCCCCTACCCCGCCTAGTAGGGGAAGTCCTCTCCTGAGCTTGGACGGCGGGGAGCGGGTCGTTAGAGCGTCCAAGGTAGCCCAAGATGGCCCCAGGTAGCCCCAGATGGCCGACGACTCAATATAGCCCACGATGGTTCCAGATAGCCTCCAAAGTCCAAGGCCGCCCCACGACAGCTTCAAGTGGCCACGGAGTCTCCCAAAGACACCCACGAGAGGCCCAAATCCTTCCAAAACCTAAGGACGATACGTGAGTGATGAAAATGGATGCATCATCGCATGATCGCATTCGATGGGCTTGCTAAATATTCAAGACGGCTCCAAGATCGCCCGAGAGAGTCCCAAGAGGATTCCAAAACGACTCCGAGAGCGCCCAGGATCGCCCCAAGAGAATCCCAAGAGGCGAATGTTCTGTCTCCGACGGGGTGGAGTGCGCTGGCCCCTCTTCTTTGATCGATGGCCCCCGACATGGCCTTCAAGCCCCCCCAGGAGGGCTTATTTAGTGCCTCCCACATGGCCAAGAATGCCCCAAGATGGCCCGAGACAACTGCCAATAATCTATGATATCGACATCTCCGCGAGAGCATGTCTGGTTCACTCCTCCTGGGTTTGTTGACGTTGATCCCGAGTTTCGATTAAACGGCTGCTCACCTTCTTCGTTACACTGTTTTCTCTTGCTTCTTCCCACAGATCGGCCTGAAAAAGGTAAATCGTCTGGACATCCTCCGAGCAAATGCCGATCCAGCAAACGGCAGAAGTAGGAACTTCTCGGACCGTTTGCATTATCAAACCCACAACGGCGAGCCCCGACCGAAGGCAGGGGAGTGATCGGCGAACATACTAAGCTCGAGCTGATGAACCGACGCCCCCGATTCACAAGGATGTTTTGCCCTGCGCATGGCAACTACTTGGTGACGTTGGTTTGCCCTCGCCTGGTCGTCACATAATTACCTCGACGGCAAGCTCATCGTGCTGGCCCCGTTCTCGCTCTACACCGTGTTCGGTGCCCGAGGCCCCATGCGCTTCGCTATAGAGTACTTTGACAACCTCCTTTCTGAAACTAGAGTTTCGGTTGCCATCCAGCCCGTGCGCTGCAGCGTGTATCTGTCGATGCTCGTTGATACAACTGTCCATACACGGTTGCGCACCTCTTTCATCCGTGGCCCCAAGATGTTGAGGAATTCGGAGCTGCACTCAATCTCTTTGATAATCAAGGTAATACACGGGCCCTCCCCGAGGAGCTATCCTGAACACTTGCGCTGCCAAGTGGTGTCGTCCCTCGATCCAACGCTCGCTGACTGGTGTCCTGGCTGCTCCATGTTTTTTGCCGCCAACAATCGCCAACGGATGCTTGTTGGTATCCCCAATGGTAGCCTGTATAAGTTATGCTATGTCGTCCCGCCATTACCGAAGTCTTCAGTGGTTGCGCTGTGCTCTCCGGCGGAAATCGTGCATCGGCACCTGGCATTGTGCTATGGTCATGAACGCTCTGAGCGAAACGCCGCCCGTGCCCTCAATACGTTTGGTGCGCAATTAGCTCTGCCGCACCCCGTCTGTTGCTGCGCGACGCTTCGTGTCCCACGTCGCCGCTGACAAGAAGTTGCGCTGTGCTGGCCTGGTGTCGTGGACAGAAAGCTCCCGTACTGCTGCGATCCTGGTCCATCCGGAGTGGACCAGGTAGTCCGGGATGGTCCAAGACAGCCCTCAAGAGACACCACGGAGGCTGAGATCCTTCAAGGAATAAAGTTTCTTCAGTGATTTGGGACTCATCCCCTTCATTTGATTTGGGCTTCTGAGGCCTCAGGATGGCTCCAACATCATCGAGCAGTGTACTGCGCCGAACAACGCAATACAACGCGTAGACACACCGAAAAGCAAAGGCTATTGGATATCGCAACCCAACTTGGGCCCAACACCCCGGTGTGGTCCCGAATGGACCACTACAAAACCAGAAAGGCCCCCGCGAGCCCCCCAAGCCCCTGAGACACCCTCAGCGAGCCCCCGGATTCATCGCAAATACTCCCATGAATCCACTCGAAGCGACCCGCCTGCCGAAATGCTTACCACATGCCTTCGTAGAAACGAGAGCCTTGTTCCGCGTGCACTTGTCTGACCTCTCGTGGCCTTACCCTTTCACACATGGCACTTCCAACATAACCAAATGCTAGCGATGACACAGTGTGGGTCGACGAAATCAGCAAGTGAAGCGGCGGAGAGAGCAAAGCGAATGCCAGCGATGATTGCAGCATGGGCCAGCGATGACACAGTATGGGCAAGAGGGAGAAGTGGGAGGTCATCACAGGGACCGTCCCCCTCACGTCCTTTCCTCGACGCCGAACAGATGGACACGAGAGAGCGCGCCACTGAAGCCGAGGGGCTGACAGGCTGGCGAGAGGAGCGCGGGTGAGGCATGATGCAGAGGTGGCTGGTGAGCACGAAGGATGCAAAGATGGGAACCAGACGGCTCAGGATGAAGAGACAGAGAGGAAGAGGAGCTGGAGGCGGAGGCTGGGGCGGAAGAGCGGAGGAGGGGGGAAAGGAGGAAGGGGGGTATAAACAGAGGGGGGCTGGGCAGCAGAAACAAAGGACAAAAACATGTTTTGTGATCCGCCCCCCGCAGCCTGACGGAAGATGGGGTGGAGGAGGCCAAACGAAAAGGAGGGATGAACAGAAAAGAATTGGAGGAGGCACGTAAAACACGACTGTGGACCCGCGACTCGCACTCCTCGCTCTCCTCGAGGATGCAGGAAACAGGATGAGAGAGGAGGAGGAGGAGGAGGAGGAGGAGGAGGAGGAGGACATCTCATGCCAAGGCTTCTCGGCAACATCGGCAGCACAAGGAGAGCTGAAGAATACCGTGAAAAGAACCATGGAACCATGACCCCCCAACAACCGCGCCGCACCGGTTTCACGACGCGAATGGCGACATGCCAACAAAGACCACGCAAGGGCTGTCGCGATGGCCGACGCAGCGGCCGACGCGATGGCCGACACTCAAACTTTTCCTTTCGCCCTTACCGCCTCCCTCCTTTTCGCATCCCCTTACGATGTCGATGATGGCGTGAACATAGTCCCTAGTGTTTCCGTAGTGGCCCCAGAAACTTGCTCTGTTTTCCTGGAAAGGTTTCGGACCCTAGACACGACAGTCGCTGAACAACGTTCAAACAAATCTGGACAATCGCTGATGGCAAGTGGTCCTGAGCATAATTACCATTGAGATCGTTACCACCAGCAGTGTAGTGGCCCAGCAGGTGGCAGGGGTGTGCGCAGCAAGGACCTGACTCTTGCCCACCAACTTGTCCCCCTCCGCCTTCTCAACCCTGTGGACGGCGACACGTCGAAGGGTCACGCTGTGTCCGGACATTTGCCTGCTGTTCAATTATTCAGCATTCGGAGAGGCCTGGTCGGGGCAGAACGGGCAGAGATATTCCCAAGGATGATGCGAACCACATTCGCGCCAAAGCTGGAATCTTGTTAGCCAGTGAAGCTGCTTCCTCGAGAAGCCCCTCGAATTTCTGGAGCTTGCCCTCCCAACACAAACATATCACATCAGCATCCAAACGCACCGAAACCTTGGATACTTGTGCAATCAACCGCTCCAGATCGTAGCTGATCCCCTCTGAATCCGCGGCAACCGTCGCTGGGCTGCCGCCACACGAGTGGCCCAAACTGGTGGCCACGTTGGGCAGGCTGCCAGGGTCGAGGGCCGGCACTTGCGCTTCGAGCAGGTTCTCTATCGTCTTCCCATTCGGCGGCTCTGCAGATCCCTTGAACTCCTCGAAGTTTGGGGGGGGTCACGCAGAAGAACTGGCCCTCAAACGCGTTCGGCCCTGCCGCCGCCTGCAGCGCCCAGAGGAGAGCGGCAGCCGGAGCAGCACAAAAAAGTGCACCCTGCGCAGAGCACAGCCTGGAGCACCGCAATCGGACTGACTCGAGCGAAGCTGGCTCCAGCCAAACTGGCGACTGCACCGCGTCAGGGAGGAGAGCGAGGAGAGGGAGCAGGAGGAGAGAGCACAGGCAGGAAAAGAAAAAGAAAGGAGGGGGGCGCGCAGTCGACCACGCCATCACGGCGCCCGTCACCCGACGCTGTCGCCCACGCCGCAGGCGGCCGGGGTCTCGAAGCGCACGACGAAGGAGCACGCGTAGGTCTCCGTGATGGACAGCAGCGCGTCAGCTGGAGCACACTCGAACAGGACCTCGACGCTGCGGTTGACGGAGGCCTTGTGTTTGGTCGGGCATGTCCCCCTACAGGCGGACTTTGGGCGAAAGAAGCACAAATAGTCAACCGAATTCTCAAAAATAGTCAAGGAGAGTCCAACAAATCGTCCCCAGACTATTTTTGATCAATTTTGAATGTGCCTCCTCTGGAGGGACAGGCCCGACTTGAGCCTTGTGGCACCACTCGCCGTCGCCCATGTTCAGGCGGCTGTAGTCGCGCCTCAGCTGCCCGCTCTCCCAGAACGCCTCCGCGAAGGCCCCTCCGCGCCCCAGCACGAAGGGCCGCCCCTCCTCGCCGATCTGGTGGGTGACCCTGTCGAGGAGGCAGACCTTGTAGATGGCGCTGCCCTCGTCCAGCCGGAAGCAGCCCTTCTCTGGGGGAGCGAAGCCTGGCAGAAACACAAAGACTCGGAGGTCCGCGCGGATGTCTCGGATCCGCGCTGGACCCCCCTGGCGCGCTCCGCGCGCCAGGGAGGGGGGTCCAGCGCGCGGATCCGAGAACTCCGCGCGGACCTGCGAGTCTTGCTGCTTTACGCCACTCTTCGCGCCCCCCTTCTCCGCCACGGCCAGGAACGCGTGATCGGGGCCACCCGGCAGCCCCGAGTACTGCGGCTGCTGCGCCAGCTGGCGCCCCCTCTCGGCGTGTCGCGCCCGCGCCGCCGCGCCGAGCAGCGCCCTCGACGCACGCTCGGCCTGCCCTGGGCCCTCTGCCTCGAGACAGCGGTCCGGGCACCTGGCGTCAGGTCGAGCATGCCCCCCCTACAGGCGGAGCTTGGAACGGAAATCATGAGCAACATACCCAAAATGCTCCCAAGATGGCCGAAAACAATCGAGAGATCGCCCCCAGAGTATTTTTTGTGACTATTTTTGACGACTCCTCCCGTAGAGGGACATGCCCGACTTAAACCTGGCGCCAGTCTGCCACTCGTCCTCCCCGGCGCAGCAGTCGCAGATGCCGTCGTTCACCGCCGAGTGCGGCACCAGCCGCGCCCTGGCGCCCGACGGCTCTCCCGCCCCCGGAGGAGCGGCGAGGCGGGCCCAGCCGCAGTAGAAGCCGGCAGGAGGACGCCAACTCTCTACACCGCACACTGTACGGTGGGGGCAATAGGACAAGGAACCCTTCGATAAGGAATCCAGGGTCTGGAAGCTCGTGGATCTCTAATCTAGAGCCCTCCTAGATGGAGTCGGAGTAGATGGGGTCGAAGGATCGCGCCGCATCGGCGATACATCGGCGATGCATCGGCGATGCACCGGCGATGCATCAGCGACGTCGGCGATGCATCGGCGACGTCCGCGTGAAGAAAATCGGGCTCCGCATCGAGCCGCACCGGCGATGCATCGGCGATGCGGCGCGATCATCCGACCCCATCTACTCCGACCCCATCTGGGAGGCCTAGAGGCAAAGGACAAGGAACCCTTCGATAAGGAATCCAGGATCTGGAAGCTGCTGGATTTTCAGTCGTGCATCGGCCATGGACATCACCGCCGCCCTTCTCGGGTAAGGACTCCTCCAGCGTCTGCAGCCTGCTGGGCAGACTCCTTCACAAGCGCCTCCACCGTACACACCGATTCTGGGCCTGGGCTCACCCTGGGCCCAGGATCTGCGCGGACGCCCTCCCGGCTGGGGCACGGAGGCACGGATAGGCGAGCACGCTCCACTACCCGCAGAGCAACTACGCGCAAATGGCCTGGATCCGCCGCGGGGGATCTACGATAAATCACACCGAAGCTGGCGTGTGTTTGTCGGACGTTTGCGAGCAGGCACTCTGCGAGTGGTGGAACGCGCTCCGTGCATGGAGGCCATGCACGCCGCTGCTGGGCCCGGGCTCGGCAGGGCCAGGCGCGGTGCAGGCGCGCAGAGGCTGGTGCCCTCCGAGCCGGGCAGGCCCGGGCGGGCGACCGCCCCCGAGCACGCGGACGTGGCCGGCTCGTCGCTGCCGTCGGCGCAGTCGCAGAAGTCGTCGTTCAGCACCGCCGGCAGGCCGAGCGCGGGGCGCAGGCCGTCGGCGCAGGCGAACTCGGCGAGGCCCGCGGCGGCAGGGGCGTAGCGCTCGCGGAGGCGCGGGGCGACGCCGCGCAAGAGGTCCCGCGCATGGCTGCCGGTGCCCTCTGCAAGGCAGCACCGCTCGAAGGTGAAGCTCGCGTCCCAGCAGGCGGGGTTGCCGCCAGGCCCCTGGCAGCAGAGCTCTTCCAGAGGGTCCGGGGCCTCCAACTTGAAGGGAGCTTCTACACCAGATCCGGAGGCGCAAACCTCCGCGCTGCTCGGATGTTGCCGGAGGTGGCCCTGGCCACAGGAGCTCTCAGCGCTTCCAGGGGGGCATCCGATGGTCTCCAGAGCACCGCTGACGAGGCCTAGGAGGCCCCGGGGGGGCCCAAGATGGAGCGAAGAACCGTGGACACCTTGGCTCAGGACCATCCCCTGCAGCCTCAAACCTGCCGGGGGTCCCAACTCGTGTGGTGACAGGCCACGCGGCGACCTCGGAATACCAAGAGACCTCACCGCACGGTCCGTCACCGCACGGTTTTGGGACCCTGGAGGCCTCAGTCACCCGATACATTCTCGGAGAAGTACCCGTGTCCCAATAATACTGAGCGGGGACCCCGAACCCCACGGACTCACCACTCGGTGTGGTCACCACACAGCTTGGGGGGCCCCCGATCACCTCCTCCATCGGCGGGGGCGGGCTGGTGGGCTACAGTCAACCCGTACAATGGGGACGCACGATAAGGATGCAAAGGCCTTGGAAGGGCGTAGATGTTTTTCGCCCGGGTTGGTTTTCGCCCGGTGCGTTTCACCCGATTCGTTTCGCCCGGGGTTTGCTTTCGCCCGGGTTGGCTTTCGCCCGGGTTGGCTTTCGCCCGGGTTGGCTTTCGCCCGGATTGGTTTTCGCCCGGGTTGGCTTTCGCCCGGGTTGGCTTTCGCCTGGTTGGCTTTCGCCCAGGTTGGCTTTCGCCTGGGTTGGCTTTCGCCCGGGTTGGCTGTCGCCCAGGTTGGCTTTCGCCCGGGTTGGCTTTCGCCTGGGTTGACTGTCGCCCGGGTTGGCTGTCGCCTAGGCTCGTTTTTGCCTGGGTTCCCGCGTCCATCAGGAGCGCGGGCAACGGGCATGGATCCCGGGAGATGGCCGCGGGCCGGAGGAGAACAGGAAAGGCAAGACCGCGAGGTGCATGGAGGAGGGAGACCAGGAGGGGAACGGGAGGACGGGGAGTCGTCGTCGTAGTAGTCGTCCTCCTCGTTGTCGTAGTCGTCGATGTCGTCGTCGTCGTCGTCGTCGTCGTCGTCGTCGTCGACGACGACATCGACGTCGACGTCGACGTCGTGGTCGTCGTCGTTGTGATATTGTCGTGGTGGTGGTCGCCGTCGTTGTCTTAGCCGTTGTCGTCGTCGCCGTACTCGCCGTTGTCGCTGTCGTCGTCGTCCTCCTGGTCGCCGTCGTTGCCGTCGTCCTCGTCGTGGTCGTTGTCGTCGTAGTGGTCCCGCCCGTCAAGGTGCGCCTGCCCGACCCGACCCGCCCGTTAGGGTTCGCGCGTGCTGAGTCGAGCTCGCCCCACACTTTTGTGCCCCGCCCGCCCGACCCGACCCGCGTGATAGGGTCCTCCCGACACGACCCGACCCGTCCCGCCCGTTAGGGTCCGCCCGCCCGACCAGACCCGCCCGTTAGGGTTCACGCGTGCCCACTCGAGCGCGCCCCATACTTTAGTGTCCCGCCCGCCCAACCCGACCCGACACATCCCGCCCGTCAGGGTCCGCCCGACCCGATCCGACCTGCCCGTTGAAGTTCACGCGTGCTCGCTCCAGCGTGCCCCATACTCCAGTGACTCCAGTGCCCCGCTCGCCCGACCCGACCCGCGTGTGAGGGTCCGCCCGACCCCACCCCGACCCGTCCCGCCCGTTAGGGGGGTCCGCCCGCCAGACCGGACCCGCCCGTTAGGGTTCACGCGTGCCCACTCGAGCGCGCCCCACACTTTAGTGTCCCGCCCGCCCGACCCCGACCCGCCCGTTAGGGTCCGCCCACCCACCCGACCCGTCCGCCCGTTAGGGTCCGCCCGACCCGACCCAACCGCGTTAAAGGCGTGCTCGTCCGGCGCGCCCAAACACTTAGTGTCCCGCCCGCCCGACCCGACCCGCCCGTTAGGGTCCGCCCGACCCGACCCCACCCGTCCCGCCCGTTAGGGTCCGCCTGCCCCACCCGACCCGCCGGTTAGGGTTCACGCGTGTCGCTCGGGCGTGACCCACACTTCAATGCCCCCGCCCACCCGACCTGACCCGCCCGTTGCGCCGAGGGCCTCCCCGGAGGCCCAAAAAGGGGCAAGCGAGGGAAGGGCAGCGGTGTCGGTGTATCGAACAGGGCAGGGCTGTCTAGTAAACGCCCAGGGCCGTTTAGTAAGCGCCAATCATCGAATACGGGTGGTTTTTCCTCCCTTGATTCTCCTTCCTGGACCCTCCTCGATCCCCCTCCCCCTCCGAAGCTCGCAAAGCGGCCCAGAGCCCGCGGAGGCTCCGGACCCTCAAGGCTGGCGAGAAGCCGCCCGTCCAGCAGCCGGGGCCCGAGGGCGGCGGCATCGCGCCCTCGGCAGCCCGGGGCGCGGCCGCGCCGAGGGCCGCAGGCACCGCGGCCGAGGGCCACGCCCTGCACCGAGGCGAGCCGCCAGAGGGCGCGCGGCCCAGGCTCCGCCCCATCGCCGCCCCCCCAGCGCCACGAGGACTTGAGGCAAAAGGGCCCCTGGCTGGGACTCCTCCTGCTCCTCCTGCTCCTCCTGCTCCTCCTCCTCCTCCTCCTCCTCCTCCTCCTCCTCCTCCTCCTCCTCCTCCGCCTTCGGCTCCTCCTCCTCTTCCATCCTCCTCCTCCCTCTCCTCCTCCTCATCCTCCTCCTCCTCCTCCTCCTCCCTCCTCCTCCGACTCTCGCGTCCTCTTCGCCTCTCCCCTCCGCCTCCGTCTCTCCGCCTCCTCCTCCCCTCCCCGCCTCCTCCTCGTCCGTCCTCTCCCCTCCTCCTTCTCCTCCGCCTCCTCCTCTCATCACTATCCTAACTCCTATCCTTATTCCTTATTAGAATATACTCCTACTCCCCTCTCAGGCCGGCCATTAGGGGCCGCATCCGGGGGTCCCATCCTAACCTGTAAAAAACAATACAACATCAACATGTTTCTTATTTTTTCCTCTCGACATGGACGTCTTGTCGTCCACGGCGATAATCCATTGCAAAAAATACCACAAAGAGCACACGCGCGCGTTCATGTCAGAATCCTACCGAACACCTTGTGTTTGCAAGCATTTCAACATAAAAACAGCAAAAACCCAATGCTTTTTCACAAAAATTGTGCAAATTTCCCGCCCGGGCTCTCTTGCTGAAATCATAGGAAAACCATAGGAATCTGAAGAATTCGGTCAAATCCAGCGATTTCGCGTCATCGCGCGGTGCACTCGCGATGCTCTGTCATGCACCCAGGCCGCGAATCCTGTGCAAAAATACAACAAAGAGCACACTCGCGCGTTCATGTCAGAATCCTACCGAATACCGTGTTTTTGCAAGCATTTCAACATAAAAACATCAAAAACCCAATGCTTTTCACAAAAATGCTTTGGGGTGTCCTGTCAGACCGTCGGGCTTCCTCCGGCCACCTCTGGCTTCCTGCGGTGTACCGGGCCATTCTCGACTCGTCTGGCTATGCGTGCGCGGCATTCAACACGCGCTCGCCAGTTCCCGTCGGCAACCGCCATCGCGGCCGCATCAGCTGTACCAAACCGGCTGGCCGGTGTGACTTCGGCCCCCAGTTGTGCCAGCTTTGCTTCTTTTGTTGTGGGAGGGCGGGTGGGACTGGGCATGCCATGCTTGACTCGCTCGAGCTGGC